GAGCAGAAGGCTGAGGTGGGGAAGGAGGTAGCAAGCATCAGATGTGTCGTCAGCATCCGTACCACCGAGAGCCCAAAGCATCCTCATCATCGCCGGCATCGTCGCTGGCATCATCTCCAGCAACATGATCATCGTAGACGTGCGGGGTGCTGGTATGCCGCCCAAGCCGTTGAGACCGCCCTGGACCATTCTGGAGGCATGTTGAGGCCAGCTGGAACCACTCTGGGGGCCTTAGATCCGACGCCGCCAAAACATACAACGGCACGAAACATCACGACCATAACACCTAGAACTCACGTTTCTGCGGCATCTTCCGAGCCTGGTCGACCTGTGATGGTCCCAAGGCCCGAAGCCCAGCGACGACGCCCGTGACGTGACATGCTTGCGACGCCCGGATCTCAAGGTGTTCAGGCCAGCTGGGACTACCTGGGGCCTCCTCCTCCTCCTCCTCCTCCTCCTCCTAGGCTGTCGGAGGCGACGATGGGGGCGAATAGCCCAGGGGAGGGCAATACATGCATCCAGGAGCGCCGATTTTGCATGCCTTCGGCGAGGCTCCCTGGCGGATACGTGTGATGCCCGCGCCTGCCCTGAGACCCGGAGTGGCGAAAAAATGGCAACGTCGCAACAAATCACGCCTGGAGCCCCAGACAACATCTCTCCGCGTCATCTTTCGAAGCGGATCGATCTGTGAGGATCCCGGGGCCCGATGCGAGGCGAAAACGCCTGGAGCGAGACAATGGCGCCGCCAGGGTCTCAGGGTGGGCTGTTCGCCCCCTTCTCGTCGGTCGCCTCCGAGGGCTCCAGTGCGCCCCGGGAGGCCTCCGCCGGGCCCCGCCCAAGCACGGGGTGCCTCGCAGGGGGCGAGCTCCATGGCCGTGCCGCGCCCCGCGAGGAAGGCGGGCCCAGAGCTCGAGCCACAACACGGGGGCCATCCGTGCAGCCGAAGCATGGGCGACGAAACGGAGGGGGTCAGAGGAGGGGGAGGAGGAGGGGGAGGGGGAGGGAGAGAGGGAGGAGAGGCAGGAGGAGGAGGAGGAGGAAGGAGAAGGAGGAGAGAGGAGGAAGGGGAGGAGGAGGGGGAGGAGGAGGAGGAGGATGAGGAGGAGGAGGAGGAGGAGGAGGAGAAGGAGGAGGTAGGAGGAGGAGGAGGAGGAGGAGGAGGAGAGGAGAAGGAGGAGGAGGAGGGAAAAGGAGGGGGAGGAAGGGAGGAGGAGGAGGAGGAGGAGGAGGAAGAGGAGGAGGAGGAGGAGGAGGAGGAGGGAGGAGGAGGAGGAGGAGGGGGAGGAGGAGGGGAGAAGGAGGGAGGAGGAGGGGGCAGGAGGAGGAGGAGGGGGAGGGGGGAGGGGAGGGGGAGGGAGGAGGAGGAGGAGGAGGAGGAGGAGAGGAGGAGGAGGAGGAGGAGGAGGAGGCGGAGGAGGAGGAGGAGAGAGGAGGAGGAGGAGGAGGAAGGGAGGAGGAGGAGGAGGAGGAGGGGGAGGAGGAGGAGGAGGAGGAGGAGGAGGAATGCGAAACGGCATCGGTCCGCATCTATACCAATTGCTAGTTCTGGGGGTACGCGCGCTCTCTTCTAGGCTTTAGAAGACCGACCTGTACTGAATTCTTGAATTCCTCTTTCTGCAGACTCCTGCCAACCGTACCCCCGCGTGTACTTTCGCCCGACAGCCAGAGGGGCGCAGGATTCCGAGGGGGGTCTTACGCAGGATGCCATATCGACCTCGCGCCACAGCTGATGCCGCGGGCCGCCAGCGCGGCACGCCGCGTCGGAGAAGATGGGCGCTCACGTGCGACCCTGCGCGGGCAGCCTGCTCACGAACGTCCGCGCAGGCGAACCCGTCCTGTGGCGTCGCTCACGTGACCACGAGAGCGTGGGTCTAGAACAGGGGCCCCTTCGGCGAGGTGCCACGGCCCCAGGAAGACTTTTTTGAAGGGGCCCCAGGACACACAAACAAATACACACAAATAACAGGGTCCCCCATGATTTCCTATATTTTCTGGATTTCTGTCCCCCCCCCACTTCCCATATTTTCCCATCTTTTCTGGGGGATCGACGATTCATCGTGTCTGTGTTTTTTCCCTTCTGATTTTCCCCCTCCGCCAGAATGCCAATGGCCAGGCACCCAAAGGACACTAGGCTTCTGCACCACGAGGTCGTGGGGGACCGTGGCCCCACGGAGCTTCTCCACACGAGCAGCGCCCCGAGGCGGAAGACACGAACATGAAGAGCATAAGTGGAGGGGCCCCAGGACACACAAATAAATACACACAAATAAACATATTCACCATATTCTCCCATATTTTCTGGGTTTCTGTCTTCCCCCCCACTTCCCGTATTTTCCCATATTTTCTAAGGAATCGCCGATTAATTGTGTCTGTGTGTTTTGTTCCCTCCTGAATGAAGAGCATAAGGGCACGCCTCCCGAGCCAAACTTGCTCGCTGCCCTCGTGCCAGCCGTAACTCTCCGCGCGGGCGCCGGCTCCACGGACGGGGGAGCGCCCCCGAGGCAGGGGGCCGTTGCCGCCTGGTGTGGTGACGGAGCGTGCCGACTCCGTACGGATTCGACGACCGACGACGACGACGACGACGACGACGACGACGACGACGACGACGACGACGACGACGAAAACGACGACGAAAACGACGACGACGACGACCGTGACCAATCCACGCGCCCGAATGCGTCCTCGAGGGGCAACGAGTGGAGGGAACTGGCATAGGGGGGTGCATCGACCTGGAATCGGCGATACATCGCCGGTTGGTCGGCGATGGGCCCCAGAGGGCAGGCTGGGACTATCGGGTCCCTATCGGCGATCACTGGGCGATTGGGGGTCGATGCGCCCCCCCCTAGGCCTATCCCCCCCCCCTATCGCTGCCCCCGAGTGCTTTCGCTTCCCCGAGGCCTAATTCGGAGGCCGAGGAGGGGCCCTGAACTCCGACGTTGTCGCGTGTTCACAACGTGGGCCCGCGGAGCTCTGGTCCCCTTCCCTGGGGCCGGGTGTTCTCATCCTGGGGCATTGTTTGATAGCCTCGGGGCCTGGCGAAGGCCCCGAGAGGCCGCATACTGCCGAGCACACCGTCTGTTTCGATGTGTTGTTTTTCGCGACGAGAAGAAATGGGGGAACCTGGAGATCCCCTGAGATCCGCCCTCCCATGATGATTTCGTAATGATTCCCCCTCCCGAGGAGGAGGAGCAGGAGGAGGAGGAGGAGGAGGAGGAGGAGCAGGAGCAGGAGCAGGAGGAGGAGGAGGAGGAGGGAGGGAGGAGGGGAGAAGGAGGAGCAGGAGGAGGAGGAGGAGGAGGAGGAGGAGGAGGAGAGGCGGAGGAGGAGGAGGAGGAGGGGAACCTGGAGATCCCCCGAGATCCGACCTCACGTAAATTGCCGAATTCCTCCCGTAGTGTTTTTTCCTGCGGCGAGAGGTGGGGGGAAAGTGGCGGC